AAACAACTGTACAATACTGTTAAAAACAACCATATGGTAAAATAACCTTGTGGTTTTAAACTACTGTACGGTAAAACAACCATGCGTTAAAGTTAGAATACTGTTAAAATCAACTGTACGGTAAAACAACCATGCAGTAAAAAAAAATACAAGTGTACATCACTGTTAGAAACATCCGTTCGGTACAACCATGCAGTATAAAACAACAATACGGAAAAACAACCATGCATTAAAAAAGTTACAATACTTTTTAAAACAACCGTACGGTAAAACAGCCATGCAGTAAAAAACAAACAAAAAAATACAAGTGTTAGAAACATCCGTTCGGTACAACCATGCAATATAAAACAACCATACGGTAAAACAACCATGCGTTAAAAAAGTTACAATACTGTTAAAAACAACCGTACGGTAAAAAAAAACATGCATTTTTTTGTTGTTGGTACAATTCATTTAAAAACAACCATACGGTAAAACAACCATGCGTTAAAAAAGTTACAATACTGTTAAAAACAAACGTATGGTAAAACAGCCATGCAGTAAAAAACTAACAAAAAAATACAAGTGTTAGAAACATCCGTTCGTTACAACCATGCTGTATAAAACAACCATAAGGTAAAACAACCATGCGTTAAAAAAGTTACAATACTGTTAAAAACAACCGTACGGTAAAAAAAAACATGCATTTTTTTTTGTACAATTAATTTAAAAACAAACTTACGGTAAAACAACCATGCATAAAGAAAAAAACAACCTTAGGGTGAAACAACCATACCGTATAAACAACCGTACAGTTAAACAACCATGCAGTAAAAAAAACAAGTGTACATCACTGTTAGAAACGTCCGTTCAGTACAACCGTGCAGTTTAAAACAACCGTACGGTAAAACAACCATGCGATTAAAGTTACAATACTGTTAAAAACAACTGTACGGTAAAACAGCCATGCAGTAAAAAACAAACAAAAAAATACAAGTGTTAGAAACATCCGTTCTGTACACCATGCAGTATAAAACAACCATACGGTAAAACAACCATGTGTTAAAAAAGTTACAATACTGTTAAAAACAACCGTACGGTTAAAAAAAACATGCATTAATTTTTTTTGTACAATTCATTTAAAAACAACCATACGGTAAAACAACCATGCATAAAAAAAAAAAAAACCTTAGGGTGAA